CTGCCAGGGAAAGCTCACTGCCTGCTTCCTGCCCTTGAAAGCTTCTGTCCTACAAGCACAGCTTCGAGCTCCTCCTGCTCAGCCTGAGCTTCCTGCTGGACTCCAGCAGAGCGGATTTCCCCTGCCAGGTCACCCAGCTCCAGCTCCTGGCACTGGGTTTTGCTCCTTCCTGAATGGAGGTGGAAAGGGGCTCTGGGGGGTCTGCGGGACGGGGCTGAGCAGGGGGAGGAGCTGCTGCACCAGACAGGAGCGCAGCCAGGAGAGCCGCACTGAGAACAACGCTATGGTCAGAGTGGGAAACGCTTTTGGCATGCAGGAGTTGCTGGAAGCACAGAATACACCGTTCCCCAAGGACAAATCTGCTTTCTGTGTCAGCAGGAGAGATGAACAACCCGAGCACAGCAGCGAGATAGCAAAGCACAGCCCCATCCCACTCGCGGCCCCGAGCTGCCGTAATGCTGGCAGCGTGCTGCCGACCCCCAGCCGTGCTGCAGGGAGCAAAAGCACAGGGAAGTGCCACGTTCTGGAATGTGATACTGCTTCACCCAGCTCAGAATTGCTCATGCTCACGTGGAGGAACCGGTCCGGTGCCTCTCAATAGGGAGCCCGGGTGAGTGCAGCACATGGGGTGCAGAGCATCACTCCCTGCCCCAGTGCCAGGTTCAAAGCCAATCCCATCTGAGCACAAGAAGCAAGGGGAAGTCGAAGTAGGGGTAAAATTGAGAGAAATTACGCAGGCAATTGGTGTAATGGCTCTCAATTACCGCCTGTATTGGGTTACATAATGACAGCAGAGCTCTGAAATGCTCTGGAAGTGTTTATAGCTGAAGCAGTGTCAGGATGGCTCCAAGTGCGGAACTGCTGCGTGCTGCTGCAGCCCCATCCCAGGGGGGGTCGGCGGTCCCGGATCCATTCTGCTGCTTACAGCCCCGAGAACAGCCCACCCTGCTCCTCACTGGGAGCAACGCTGCCAGAATTCAGCCTCTGCTCAGAGCACAGCCCTGCACAGGGGCTCCTCCCTGCACACCCAGCCGGTGCTGTGGGTCCAAAGCCCCCAGCAGGTAGCAGACATAAGAACCCCCGGCACCCTCAGCCCCCTGCCAGGACCTGGCTCTGCTCCCTGCCCTCCTGCCCGGGCTTTGGGCTTCATGTGAGCTCCCAAAATACCTCTGTGCCAGAAAGAAGAGTGGATAAAAAAGGTTTCTGAAAGGAGCTGATGGATGGGATACGGTCACCCCCGCGCCTCTGAGCTCTGATGGGTGATCCATCGGTCTGATTACAGCCACTGATGTTATCACTGAGATCTGCCCGCAGTGTGATACGCTCCTAAGCCATTCCCAGCCACAAAAAAGGGCCCTTTCAAAGAGCTCAGAGCCAAAAGTTAACAGGAGAAGTAAAAAGGCACCCACCCTCCCCACATTGCAGACATAATCCCTTCATTGGAGTCCTCAGGATGCTTACAAATGAGAACACTTCATTTGTGCTTAACCATGATCCACTGTGCCCAAGCAAGAAACACTGGGGCTTGGAAGCTTCTCCCAGGACAAGGGAACAGCTTCAGATTCACTTCTTTTCCAAAGCACATGGCCACAGACTGTCTGCCCATCCATCCATCCATCCATCCATCCATCCATCCATCCATCCATCCATCCGAGCCCACAGCATCACACTGCAGCTCTGCTCCCGTCAGCAGACTGCAAAGCCAAACGGCAATTAGAGCAATTAAAGGTGCAGCCGTACAGCTGGAAGCAATTTAAGCTTCACTGGCACTTCAGCAGCCTGCAGATCCACAAAAGATGCTCACAGGATTCTCATTATAGGCAAAAGATCGGGGGGGTGGGGGGTGGGAAATTGAAGTTCCCTTGTGTCAGAGCTGCAAAAGATGAGATCTGATGGGTGAGTGGGAGATGGAGGGAACTGAGGGGATGCTCAGGCCCAGGGATATCAACATCAAGAGGGAGGAGCTAAAGAGAGAGACCCTGGCTCAGGGGCGGGAGAGAGAGGAAGGCTGCTTCTCAAGGAGGGGTGTAAGTACTGAAGGAAAGAAAGCAGCCCATGGGAACGGGGCTGGGAAGAAAGGCCAAAGATCCTCCAGAGCACAGAAAGCAGAGGGGCCGCAGTGCTTGGAGAGAGCTAAAATAGGTGAGCTGAGCTGCTGACTCCACGGAGCAGAGGGATCCTGTGGTACAGCAGGTTGGTCCGCCTCCAATCATCTTCTACATCAAAACCAGAGAGAAAAGATAGGGATGTCAGCAGGAGGGCTTCTGCTGGTGCACAACCACTCCTCCTCCTCCCCTACACAGCACAGCATTCCCAGCCCGGAGCAAAGCTGGTAAGGAAACACAGAGCTGCTGCAATGGGACAGGCAGAGCCCAGCCTCAATGGAGTGAGCTGAGTTGGGTTATTGCACAACACCATAAAGCAACAAAACCTTCTCGGCAGGCGTGCCCCCACCTGAGGCTGCCATCCCACAGCTCTGGGGAACAACAGGCCTTCAACAACAGCCAAAGCCCTCAGTCTTCACCATGCAGAGGAAGAAATTCACAAGTACGTTGGTTTTCATGGCAGCAATGGCAGTTGGGTTCTTCCCTTTGACGCTTGGCTAGGAACTGCTGCAGCCAAACAAGCAGGCAGCACTGAGCTCTATGTGCCTCTTGTGTTCCCAATGACACCAGGCAGGCTGTCCCTGCTCCTGGTACAAGAGAAGCCTTCTCAGTGTCCACACGGAATGAGCAGAGTGTATTTCAGCACGGAATGGGAAGGAACAACTGGCTGTAAGGAGACACAAGCCAGCAGCCTGCAATAACCCTTTACTACAGCCCAGAACCTCCTGCACACCTCACCTGGTTGCAGACAGACCCCAGCAGCCTGCAAGCTGCTGCATTTCTTCTGCACCTTGGAGGAGCTGACACAATTCCTGCATCCCCTGTGCCCTGAGTCGGATCCTCCTGCAATGTGCCACAAAGGGACCACGAGCACAGAGAACAGCAGCAGCAGAGGATGCCCAGGGCAGTGCTGTGGGCACAGGGGCACAGCAGGCTGGCAGCTCGGCGCTGCAGCTCATGGCTTCCCCGATCGCCATGACATCCCTCCATGGCACAGCAACGCCGGCCGCCCCTTGGCTCGTCGGGCATCCCCGCGTCACAGAGGTGCTGTGTCAAAGAAACACCTCCGCTTCCTTCTGAAGAGGCGTTTTTCCCGTGAGGACGTGGACAAAAAGCCCTCCTCCTCCTCCCAGCACTCCTTCACACATGGTAATTTGCTTTGTCATGCCGCTGGAATACGGCGCAGCGGTACAGCCCGGAATGCGAGCAGAGCTCCTGTGAGCGCACGCACGGGCCGGGCACGGAGCTGCGCTGCCAGCAGGGCTGCACGCCTGAAATCAGCCCTTCCCACGCAGTACCGCCGGCAGCTCCCAGCACCCAAACCCATCCCAGCACCAACTGCAGCCTTCTCCATTTTGGGTCACGCCGGGCAGCTTCAAATTACACCACATCTCATCTGCTGCGAGGCAGCGAGGAAGAGGAGGAGGAAAACACGGCGCCGGGAGTGCTGCGAACCCGCAGCCCAGCGAGGCCGGCAGGGCAGCACAGGGCCGGCATAAAGCCTAGCTCGCACCCTCAGCCCCATTGACGGACGGCTGCCACCGCAGCACCGAGAGCAGCGCAGCCCCGTGCCGGAGCCGGGCGTCGTGCGGCAGCAGGAGGTGCGAGGGCTGGGAGCGCCGGGCCCTCGGAACGGCCCCGCCGCGTCGGGATGGGCTCCGTCCTTACCTGCTCGGCCCCGTAGGCTGTGGCGAACTGGACGAACTCCTCCACCCGCACGAAGCCGTCGCCGTCTCGGTCGAGGGCGTCGAAGACGGGGCGCAGGCGGGGCTCGTCCTCCGGGCAGCCCCCGCGCCCCGGGGGGGCCCATGGCGGCGTCCCCGCTGCCGGCTCAGCTGCCCACAGGGCCAGCTCCGCTTCCAGCTCCGCTTCTAGCTCCGGGCCCGCCTCCGGTCCCGGTTCGTCCCACCGCGGCCCGGGATCGAGCGGCGGTGCCGGCAGAGGCTGTGCCGGCGACTCCATGCTCACGGGCAGCGCTCGGCCGCCCGTCCCGCCGCTGCCCGGCTCGCTGCCCGGCGGGTCCCCGCGGCACGGCCATGCCCCGCGGCCATCGCCCCTCTCACATCGCGGCCGGAGCCGCCGCCGTCGGTGCGGTCCCCGGGGCTCCGCCCGCGCCCGGCTTTGTGCGAGGCGGCGCCGGCCCCGCCCGCTTCGGCGGCACCGGAGGACGGCCCCGAGGATCCGCTCCGCCCGATGCTGCGGGGCGGCCCCGCGCGACCGAAGGGGCGGCGGCACGGAACCGAACCCTCCGCCGCCCGCCCTCCCGCGCCGCCGCTCGCGGAGCAGCCGCCGGCGAACCTCCGGATTTACCCCCGCGGCCGCCGCAGTAGCCGCGCGGTGACGTCACTCGCCCACCGCCGTGCCCCGCTCAACCCACCGCGACGCGGCGCGGGGCCGAGCGGAAGCCCCGCCCCCCCGGGACCGGCCTTAAAGGGGCCGCGCGCAGAACGAGCACGTGGGGCGCAGCGCCGAACGCAGCGCTCGTAGCGACCGAGCTTTCCTCGGCGTCCGCCCGAGCCGCTCCCGTGGGTGCCGGTCGCTCCCCTGTAGCCTCTCCGGGCTGCACCCACACAACGTCCCACCTCTCACCTGCCGGGACCTTCACTGCACGTAGCTGCAGGGAAGTCGGGACAAAGGACGCAAGCCACGTTCCCGACCCTCATGACTCCCTGTCATCCCTGCCCAGGGACCCGGTGGGCATCCCCAGCGGGGAGACAGGTAGTGCTGCAAAGCTCTTCCTTCCTTCAGCTCCCTTGAAGCTCTTTCTCTAATCGTTGCGCCCGAAGACAAGGAGCAACACTCAAAACTTTGGCTGCTGGGAGCTGGAACGGTCAGAATGGATGTGGGATAAACTACCCTGGCCCCCTCCAGGCAGGCAAACAGAAGCGGCACAGCTGAGGCTGGAAGTTCTTTATTCGTGGCCTGGAGGAAGGAGCAAAACCTGTCAAGTCTACAATCATGTAGGAAAAGAAACCAATCTTCAGCAATCTTTAAAACCAGATTAAAAGAAATCAGGGTAAGCTAAAATCCTGCTGTCAGCAGTAGGAGGGCAGTGCAGAGCCCCTCGAGCACACACATTTCATTCCCAGCACACGCCCAGTGCAGCCCCTGCAGCTCCCCAGCTCAGCACTGCTCAGCAAGGGCTGAATTTCTGCTAGCCTCTGATTCACCCTCTGTTGTGGTGTCTGGACATAGAAAGGGGACAGCAAGAGATCAGTGCCAGAGCCATTAGGGCTGACAGACAGCAGGGGGCTGACAGACAGACAGACAGCTCAGGCTCAGCTGGTAGGGCCATCCCTGGTCAGCTCTCACCTCCCATTACCTCTGTTCCCAAGGAAAGGACATCTCAGGCACCTCTGCACCTGCCTCAGGGTTCTGCTGCTCCAGCCAGGAGCCCCTAGAGGAAGTGAAGCTGTCCATCCCTCTGCCAGAGCCACCCTGGTCCTAGTTGGCATCTAACAGTTACCAAGCAAAAGATGCCCCAAGCACTGCAGCTGATCTCGTTTGATCTCATTCTCCTAGCAGGACAAGCTGCAGGTCTGGCAGCAAGCACTGGCTTCTCCCAACCCAGAATGGGCTGAACTATCCCCCATCCCAATAAGGAGCTGCTGCGGGGGTGCTGTGCTGCTCTCAGGCAAAGAGAGGGGAAAGAGCAGGAAGTGGTCAGATACCCAGGACTGGGACTCCAGAAAGGAAAAGCCAGACAGTGAGCACTACAGCACATCCCCTCTATCCTCACAATCTCAGCCACAGCAGCTCAGAAGACTGTAACAGTGCAGAGTTGGGGTACACCTGCTCCCCCACAGCATCCTTGGTGCTCCCTCCCCCAGGCAGGAGTGGGCTCAGCAGCATCACCACATTGCTGCTCTCTGCAGCTCTCAGCTCCTCACTCTGGGTGGCTCCACCCCAAGATGTCCCAAGGAAGCAGCATTCAGTCACATTTCTGTCCGTCAGTCAATCCCAGGCTGTCCATCATTGATTTTTGTTTGCTCCTGCGGCCCAGACATCTGCAAGACAGCAGGGAGGTCAGCACACACGGCCCTGCTCGAGGACCACAAAGGAGTGGGGTGAAAGGAGTCTCCTCTCCCAGAAAGCACCAACCCTGGCAATGAGCTCCGTGGGCACATGCAGCCAAAGTGAGTGCTGAGAGCATTGCAACCCCAAGATACATGCTGCAGTGATTTCTGGGCAGCCTGATCTGGTGGTTGGCGACCCTGCACATAGCAGGGGTTGAAACTGGATGATCACTGTGGCCCTTTAAAACCCAGGCCATTCAATGATTCTATGAATTCATGCAAGGAAGAAAGGGGAGGCAGAGGCTGTCGGGTCTGTGTATCCAAGCCTGCTGATGGGGCACAGAAGCGGGTATTGCCTTGGTATTGCCTTGCTCCTGGGGACATTTAGAGGTGCCCAGATAGTAACCTCCAGCAGGAACAAGAGATCTGCCCACCCCACAGCTCATCCCTCCCTTGCTCAAGCAGGAATTGGGTGCAGGGGAGTGCTGAAACCCTCTCAGGACAGCCCAGCACCCCCCAAGCTTGCTGTGGCACATATGGCATGATGGCCTGAGCCTCAAGAGAGGCAGAGCCCAGCACAGCACGACCAAGAAGGGGCAATGCTGTACCCGCTGGTACCGCAGCCATGCCTCTACACCATGGGGCAACAGGGTTTCTGACACAAGGCCTGCTCTAATCCCACAGAGGGGGAAAGGCACGTCACCTAAAGCTTAGCAGAGGATGAAGCAATACCCAGCAAGGCGGAGAAGTTGTTGGCAGAGGTCAGCCAGCTCCCACCATCCACGACCAGTGTGGTTCCAGTCACGTAGGAGGAGAGGGGGCTCGCCAGGTACAGAGCGCTGTGGGCGATCTCTGTCTTGTTCCCTGCACGCTGCAGGGGGATCGTGTCAAACTGCTTTGAGTCCTTGGCAAATTTTCCACCTGAATGACGGGAGAAAGAGCCAGCTATGAGCACGGGACCTCCTGCCCATCACCACTGCCTGCCAGACACCGCCATCCAGCAGCGCTGCTTGGGTGGTGTCAGTTGCTGAGAGCCCCAGGGAAGTTCAATGAGATGCTGGCACAGCCCTAGGGATGGCCCAGGGACAAAGAGAGTTCAGTAAAGGGATCTCAAGCACAGCTGTGAAACTTGTAACTGGATGCTGTAACAGTGAGCTCAAGGCATGAGATCTCTGAGCCTTCCCAGCCTCCAGGGCTGAACACACAGATGGACTTCAAGAGCTGAGCCCCCAGGCGTAGCAGCTCCCTGCAGCACACGTGAGCTGCGTGGCACAGGTGGTCCCCTCCCAGAGAGACACCAGCAAAGCACTGCTGAGACACAGCCAGGGGCCCCAGGGCCTCACCCAGCCTCCGGAAGCCCTCGGTGCCTGTGATGGGGCCTGGTGCCAAGCTGTTCACTCGGATGTTGTTGGGACCCCACTCTACAGCAAGGTGACGGGTCATGGCGTCTGGGAAGGAGAACACATTACAAAAGGAATGAAAAAGGGAGAGCAAAGGCATTCCAGCAACTGTTGCGGGAGGGGGAAAAAAAACAAGGGAGGTTTTGGCCAAGAACAAAGAGCCCTAGAAAGGAGAAGAGCCCCACATCAAACATAGGCATGTGCAGCACCACACAGCAACCACGCTGATTCATGTTCACCTCTCCCATCAGGAGAGATCTTCCCATCCCAATACCCAGCAGCCTCCTTACTGGCCCCACACAGCTTGCAGAAACTCAGCAAGGAGCACTTAGGTACCTATAGCAGCCTTAGCAGAACCAGCGTGCACCTGGAGGGCCTGCCCTCGGTAGCTCAGAGTTGCTGTGATGTTAATGACGACCCCACCGTGGTCCTGGGGAGAGAAAAGAGGTGCAGAATTAGGAGAGAGTGGCATGAGGGTCACATAGGAGCATGATGGGCTTGGAGGGAAGGTCACCCATGGGCACAGACATCCCTGCATTGCCAGCTTACTGAGCAGGGCCCTGCCAAAGAAGTGGGAAGTAGAAGGGATGAGCAAAGACCAAACTAAACAAGGTAGCAGCAGTTTGCAGCTTCTTCCCAGACAGGTGGCAGAGCACAGACAGGTGCTACACAAATCAGTGCCCTGTGGCTAGGGACAGGCAGGAAACAAAGCACAGCTCCCACTCCTGGCACGGAGGCTGCAGTGCCCAGAAGGGGATGGACTGGATTCAGCGAGCAGGGCAGGTGGGGCAGGCTGACAGAGCAGGGCTCTGCTCCCTTCCACCCCACCAAAGCGTGCTTTGCACAGCACCAACACCAACCTCCTCCTTACCAGGAGGCACTTACACGGAAATATTTCTCAAAGAGGACTTTGGAGGTGTTGAAGGTGCCAAGAGTGTCAATATCCATCACCGTCTTGAAGGCGTTGAAGGACAGAGCGCTGGCTGGGCACAGAAAGTTTCCTGCAGCACCTGAGGACAAGCAGTTGGGGTCACAGTCAGCTCAGGACACTTCTGGGAAGGGGACAGCAGGCAATAATGCTTGGGTAAGGCAGGTGATGAAGTGAAAACAGTTCCAATGATGGCCTGTAGCTCCACGTATGTAGGGATGATCCACAGTGAGACCAATAAAGCTCAGTCTCTGGTTCCTCTTGAGACTGTTCCTATGTGCTGCTCTCAGGGGTTCACACCATCAGTTGTTCAGATGCTCCCAGAGCAAAGCAGCATAAGCCAGACAGAGCAAATACAGCTCCTGTGCAGGAGAACACCCTGCCTAACAGCCAGCCTGTGCCATCTCTCCCACTGCCCGTCCGGTGGCTCACCATTAACCAGGATGTCAATCTGCTTGAACTGCTTCAATGTCTCATCCACTGCTGCCACGATGGTTTGTGGCTGTCTGACATCTATGGACAGAGGCAGGCACTGCTGCCCTGTGGCTGCAACCAGCTTTTTTGAGGCCTGGAAAAAGAGAAAAGCAAGATTCTTTCCGGGATTCTGTGCTTCAGCAAGGGCCAGACCCAGATCTCATGCAGGCAAGCAAGCTAGGCAGAAGCTGCATCCCTGTCAGCACACAGCAAGCAGGTGTTACCCACATGAACACAAGTCATGTCTTGTTCCAGAAGCAGCTGCATTTCATCAGCCAGCACAGTCATTATGTTTCTAAACAAAAAAAGCCAATGCAGCCCCTAGGCAGGGGAGAGAACTGCCCCAAACACAGCCAGGGCACCTGGGAGAGCCAGAGGCAGCTCCTGCGCATCATCTCACATGTGGGAGACAGATTGCTAAGCCCAACTTGCCTCCACAGCCTTCACAGACACAGCACACCCCAAACAACAGCTCTGCAGGGCAGGTACAAAGGTTGGACCCCAGCGAGGTCCTGGAAATAAGTAACCTTTAGATCCAAAATGTCGGTGGGTCAAAGGGTAATCGCTAACCAGCAGTTATCAGGGCTCTGCCTGCGAGGTACAGGAGGCAGCTCAGCATGAAGCCATCTCCAAGGCCCGAGCACTGCATACAAACTGCACAACAGTGCTAAGTGCCTCCAGGAGGCGGCTGGGTCGTGCCAGCTCAGCCCCAAGCACTCAGTTTGCTCTTTATTATATTTCAGTGAACTCTCTGTGATCCCTGCAAAGCTCTCTTGTGGCCACTTCCAGCACAGAGCAGCACACGAGCCCAGCACAGCTTCTCCAGTCCCTGCACCTAAAACACAAAGCACAGCATAACAGGGATTTTGGGGGCTCAGAGCATCTGCACCACTCTTACAAAGGGGAACTCACAGAATCACAGAACAGCTGGAGTTAGAAGGACCCTTTAAAGGGTCTTCCCTTCCCTTCCCTGGCAGAGGGGTGGCCAGCAGGGACAGGGAGGTGACCACTCCTCTCTGCTCTGCTCTTGTGAGGCCCCATCTGCAGCACGGCATCCAGGGCCGGAGCCCCCAAGACAAGCAGGACAGGGAGCTGTTGGAGAGGGTGCAGGGGAGCCACAGAGATGATCAGGGGCTGCAGCACCTCCACTGCAAAGACAGGCTGAGGGAGCTGGGCTTGTTCAGCCTGGAGCAAAGAAGGCTGGGGGTGACCTCAGTGCAGCCTGCAGTACCTAAAGGGAGCCTACAGACAGGAGGGGAGTCAACTCCTGAAAAGGGTGGATAACAGCAGGACAAGGGGAAATGGTTTGACGTTGAGGGAGGGCAGATTGAGGTTGGATGTCAGGGGGAAGTTCTTTACAAGTGGTGAGGTGCTGGAACAGCTGCCCAAAGAGGCTGTGGATGCCCCGTCCATCCGTGGAGGTGTTCAAGGCCAGGTTGGATGGGGCCCTGGGCAGCCTGGTTTAGCATTAAACGTGGAGGTTGGTGATCCTGCCTGTGGCAGGGGGCTGGAGCTTCATGATCCTTGAGTTCCCTTCCATCCCTGGCCATCCTGTGATTCTGTGAAAGGCCACCAGGCCCCACACTCGCACTGAACACGGACACCCACACAGCCACATACAGCCCTCCAGCCTCCCCTCGGCTCCCGCTCCCACCCGCAGCCCGGCGCTCACCTCGGCCACACGCTGTTGGTTCCGGCCGGCGATGGCGGTCCGACAGCCGTGCCTGCAACGGAGGGGCGGTGAGAACGGCCCGCGGAACCCCTGCAGGGCCCGGCCCGGCCCGGTCCGTACCTCATAAAGATCTCAGCGATGCGGAAGCCGATCCCGGAGCCGCCGCCGGTGATGAAAGCCACGCGGCCCCTAAAGGAGGGGAACGAGGGGATGCGAGGACCGAACCGGACCACCGCGATGCCGCCCGGCCCCGCCCCCACACGGCACTCACGCCAGGATGTCGGGGCTGAAGAGGTGCCGGTACTCCGCGAGGCAATCATCGCCATCCACGTCCGCCGGCGGATCCGAGGCGCCGCGCTGCTCCGCCATGGCTGCTGCACCGAGCGACCCGCGCCCGCGCGCGGCACGCCGGGACGCTCCGCCGCGAGGCACGCCGGGAGCGGAAGTCTGACGCGGGGTATGTCGGGATTCGTAGTTCCGTATTTTCCGTCCGCGCCGCAGCTCTTCGCGCATGCGCGGGCGTCAGCAGCCGTCGCCTAGCAACGGCGCGGGGCTGTAGCGCGACCCGCAGCGCCGCCCGCTGTCACCCGCGTGTCCCCAGCGGCGGACCGGGCACCTCGTACTGCCCGCCGGGACATCCCCGTGCCTCCCAGTTCCCCCACCGCAATCCCAGGTCACTCAGGGGTCTCCCGGTGCCCCCACGCTGCCCTTAAGGACGTCCCAGTGCCTCCCAGCACCATCCCAGTGAGCCCACGTGGCATCTCAGTGCCACCCAGCAACATCCCAGCGCCCCCAAAAGACATCCCCGTGCCACCCAGTGACATCCCCGTGCCTCCCAGCAGTTCCGCATGACCTCCCACTGTCTCCCAGTACCGTTCAGTGATGCCATGCGATAGCCTGCTGTCATCAGTGCCATCCCACTGCCCCCCCAGCAACACCATACTGCTTCTCAGCGGAATCCCTGCACCACCAGCATTTCTTGGTGCCTCTTGGATCTTGCCAGCACCCTCCCAGTGACATTTCTGTGCTTCCCAGCATCTCCAGCACATCCCAGTGACACCCAGTGCCTCCACAGTGACAATTTAGTGCCATTCAGTTCCCACTCCACACCATTCCAGTACCCCCCAGTGACATCCAGCACTTCTTGGTGACATCCCAGTGTCAACCCAGTAACACCTCGGTGCTGTCCATAGTCCTCCAGTAACATCCCAGTGACATCCCAGCGCCTCTCACTACCACCCCAGTTTCTCCTCACTGACATCCCAGCGCTGTCCATTGCCCACCAGTGACATCCCAGCATCCCCCAGCATCTCCTGCTGCCTCCCAGTCCCCCCACTTCACACCCCAGCGCTGGTGAGGGACAGGAGCAGGGCAGCACGGAAGACACAGTGTTTAATAGCACAGGGGTCTCAGTGCCCTCATGGCCCATAGGTGTACTGGCTGTCTCCGCTCTCCCAGGCCACCAGCTCATTCTGTTGGAACCAGAAGCCAATCTCCCGCGTTGCCGTCTCCACCGAGTCGCTGGCATGCACCACGTTCCTGTGCAGGGGTGGGGATGTGACCGCAGGGCTCAGTGCCACCCTCTCCCCGTGTGCCCTTACCTGCTGACGTGCATGCTGAGGTCCCCCCGGATGGTCCCTGCCGCTGCCTGTGCTGAATCCGTGTCCCCCACCATGGCACGTGTGGAGCGCACCACGTTGTAGCCCTCCCACACCTGAGGGATGGGGTCAGCTGAGCCCCACGGCCCCGCAATGGGGTGAGATGCAGCGGGGTGAGGGCAGCTGCTCACCATGGCCACCAGCGGCCCCGATGTCATGTAGGCTAGGAGCGCGGGGTAGAAGGGCTTCTGCTGTAGGTGCTGGTAGTGGCGGTCCAGGAGGCCCCGATCCGCCTGGCAGCATCACAAGGTGATGCAGGGACATCCAGGAGGGTGGTCCATGCACACCCCCACCCCTCTTGCGGTGCCGGTACCTGCAGCAGCTTCATGGCCACCAGCTTGAAGCCGCGCCGCTCGAAGCGCCCGATGACATCGCCCACCAATCGCCGCTGCACCGCGTCCGGCTTCACCAACACCAGCGTCTGCTCCCGCAGCTCCGGGGGGGCTGGGGGGCATGGGGTCACTGCTGCTGCACAGCCCTATCTGCACCCCCATCCCTATCCCTGTCCTTATCCCACCACCCTGACCCCAGCCCTGCCGTCACTGTGATGTCCACCATGCCCCGAGAGCGGGGTAGGGGGGGAACGTGTGCCCAAAGCTGTGATAAGCACTGAGGACACATCCAGCAGGGACCAGCATCCCCATTGCTGTCAGAGCCGTGCAGGAGGAGCAGGGGACGGCGCGTCCCCGGACAGGAAAGGGGATGGCTCTGAGCGAGATCTCACCCCACGTTCCCTGGGGAATGCTCCGTGTCTGCCCCTGGAGATCCCAGCACCGAGCGCTAAGGAACGGGGACACCAGGGATGGGATGGGGCAACGGAAGGAGACGGGCAGGGGTCCCCAAGGACGAGGCAGGGAGAGGACAGGGGGAAGGATGGGGACCGGGTCCTAAGGGGCATAAGAGGATGTGACGGGACGGGGATGGGGACCGCCCGCAGGGTCGGGCGGGGCCGGGTCTCACCGGAGCCGTAGCAGCGCGGCGACCCGAAGGGGAGGCGGATGCCGGGCTGACCCCGCAGCAGCCCCCGCGCCAGGCAGCGCCCCAGGGAGCCCATGGCCGGGGCGGGAGGCTCGGAGCGGGTCTGGCCGCCCCGCGGGGAGGCTTTAAGGGCCCGGCCGGACCGGCTCGGCCCTCCCCTTAAAGCAGCCGCAGCGAGGGGAGCCCCGGCCCTGGGAACAGCCGTCCCGCGTCCCACGTGTCCCATCGAGGGCTGCGGGGAAAGGGATGCGCAGGTACTGCAGCCCGGCTGCTCCGCGGGCAGAGACACAAGCGGCAGCTCTGAACACCTTGGGGAAACACAGGGATCTGAACGAGCGCTTCGGACACCAGGGAAGGAGGATTCCAGCAGCACGAAGGGCTCGCAGGTCCTCCCAAGCTGGGCTCGGGCCCCCTGCCAACTGCTGCCCTTGATCTTCCGCACAGCCAGGGAAAAACATGCACTTTCACCCTCGGTCAGCAAACAGAGAAGAGCAACCAAACATTTTGCAAGAAGCAGAAGCATCAGCATGGAGCCCCAGGGAGGCAGTGGGGCAGGCGAAGCCCCGTCCAGCAGTTCCATGGAGGAGCTGCAGGGGCTGGGAGCAGCCCTTAGTCCTCCCAGCTGCCTGCACGCAGCCATCTCCCTTTAAACCACATCTGGGAAGGCTTCAAGGTGGACACTCACTGCAGATGAGGACAGGAAATGCCAGCATCTCGCCCTGCCTGAATGAGGACTGAGGCTTTAACTTCACACTCCGGTGGCCTCCAGCCCAGCTTGCCCTGCGGTGCAACCCCACGTGTGTTTGGAGGTGTTCCTCATGCAGGCTATTCTCGATGTATTCAGAGAGCAGAATGCCGAAGGAACAGAGATCCCACCGCGAAAGGGGGAACAGAGGTGGTAGGTGAAGCCTCTGGGCACAGCTTGGTGACAGCCTGCATGGAAACTAAAACAGAGGGAAGTTATTTAAAACAACAAAGTAAGCACTTTATTTCCATGAAGCATGTTGTTTTAGTATCACAATGGAATGATGAGAAAACGTTTAAAAAAAACCCGAAGAAGTCTCTAATCCCCCGCTGACAGCAGGGAGGTTTTCAAGGCAATTTAAAAAACAAAGGGAGTGACAGAAGTGCCAAAACAGTCCCAACATCACAGTCCCCTCCTCCTCCCAGAGCCGGGCAGGGGCAGGAAGGCGGAATGACACGAAGGTACGAATGGCTGAAGCAGTCTTTGGCGCTTCTGCCTCACGATTGGTACACACGAGGTCTCTCAAGACGACTCCATTAACATCTCAGGGCGCAACAGAGCGCTCCGTCGGTGGAACAAAGCCCGGTGAGCCGCTGCGCCCCGCGGCGAGGAGCTGAGACACATCCTGCAGCCAGCACCGTGGCCTTTGGGATGGGACAGAAGGAAGCGTGGTGCATGAATCCAAACAGATGTGCCCACCTGCGGGACACCGCGTCCCACAGTGCTGACAAAGCAGCCAGGAGAGAAGGTGGTGGCAAAACGAGACGTGGATCTGTTCCCTACAGTGATCAGAACACGAGTCCAGTGCAGTAACTATAGCTTCACAGTTCCGGGGGGCAAACTGTCATTGCAAAGTCTGTAGTAACGCAGGTCATTCACCAGTCTGTGCACGTTCTGGGTAAACGATGGCAGGTCCTGCAAGAGATCAAACACCGCGGTGTATTGCAAACACAGGAAAACCCACAGGCACCGTAGGACAGCAGGGAACAGAAAGGCAGCGCCCGGTGCCCCCACGTATCTCCATACATGTGCATCTGAGCCCAGGAAGCCTGAGTCTCTGCAGGGAAGAAGCTGCTCCTGAGCTCCGAGCGGGAGCTGACTGCACAGAACCAGGCCCTGCTCGCAGACCGGCTCCTTGCTGAGCACTCAGGCACAATGCAAACGGCCACGGCACGGCCATCTGCAGCAGCAACTGCTCAGAGTGCTCCTGCCAAGGCTCCAGTTCCCACAGAGCTCGTCACAAGGGCTGGTTTCCCTCAAATGCAATCGCCTGCTGAAGATTCTCTCAAAGCTCCTTCACTACCCTTAAACCCGAGGTCTCAAATCCCCACCATCTCCCATGGGAGAGGAACCATCAGCAGACAATGAAACTTCAGCAGCCTGAAAGCCAGCTGTACTGCCATGATCCAAAGGGAGGTGGCAGCTCCCCTGGCTGCAGCCAGAACCCTCCAACATCTGGCTAGCAGCTGGAGCAAGGTTTTGGCAAGGACGTGTCCCACTAGCAGATGTCAGTCTACCCTTACGAAAGCTCCCCTGGGGAATAAATATATCAGAGCTCTAACTCACGGAACAAGCAAGTCCAAGAGGTGAGATGGCAACTTTGCTGCCTACAGCAAAAAATCCAATGCTAGGGCATTACTGACTATGCCAGTGTTTGGTTCCACTCAGGAGCCCACAGCTGTCAGCCACCACACTCTGAGAGAAGCACTGCCCAGCCCAGCAATACCTGCACCCCCTGCAGCACTCTCCCTCCTTACCCTGTCCATTTTGAAATTCCTGCCCAGCACATTCTTCTGGTTCGAGTCCACACCGTCGCAGCTGGCCAGGAACTCAGGGAGGAAGGCTGAGTAGAAGCCATCAAAGTCCACCGAGGCCATGTTGTAGGTGGCAATGCCAATCTCCTCCTGCAGCAGGTCGTGGGATTTGTGGACGAGCACCTGGAGCAGCACATTCACAAACTGGAACAGCATGGTTGTCCGAAAGATCTTCTGCACAGTGAGAGGAGGAC